ACACACACACACACTCTCTCTCACACTCCAGGCCCGCGCCAAGGGAACAGAGAGAGAGGCTGTTCAAGAGATTAGACAGAAATGTATACCTATAAACACCAGATGGACTCCGGAGGTGTTTATGAGCTGCACGTTTTTTATAAGATAAGATCAGATCACTTTATTGGCCCTATACAATTTATTGTATGAGGAATTTGTCTTTTCTCAGACCCCAGCTTGCTCTCCATGAGACACACAGACAGGGAGAGAAGCTGGGGGTCAGAGCGCAGGGTCAGCCATTGTACAGCACCCCTGGAGCAGTTGGGGTGAAGGGCCTCACTCAGGAGCCCAACGGAGTAGGATTCTTCTGCCGGCTGCAGGATTTGAACCGGCAACCTTCCAGCCACAGAGCCACAGATCCTGAGCCACAGAGCCACCACTCCGCCCAGTGCCACCACTTCAAGCCCTCTCGGTCCCTGACACACGGGCAGGCAGACAGGGCACCCCTAACGTGTGAAAGACCCCCCCAAAAAACGTCTTCCCAGCGCTGCGGCCAGCTAGCAGCAACCTGGCTCAATCATCCATTACCGCCGTCGTTAAGAGAAGACAGATTCATTACCTCGTAGTGGGGTCGTGACATTTCTCAATTAACGCATTGACATCCTGTCCTGAACCCCAGAGTTTCAACACAGACACATCTCGTCCGCCTGACCATCTGTGTCATTCGGTTCATGTTTGTCAGTGTGTCACTGTGTCAGTGTGTGACTGTCAGTGTGTGTCAGTGTGTGAGTGTCAGTGTGTGTCATTCTGTCAGTGTGTCTGTGTGTGTCAGTGTCTCTGTGTGTCAGTGTGTGTCAGTGTCTCTGTGTGTCAGTGTGTGTCAGTGTCTCTGTGTGTCAGTGTGTCAGTGTCTCTGTGTGTCAGTGTGTGTCAGTGTCAGTGTCTCTGTGTGTCAGTGTGTGTCAGTGTCAGTGTGTGTCAGTGTCTCTGTGTCTCAGTGTCTCAGTGTGTCAGTGTGTGTCAGTGTCTCTGTGTGTCAGTGTCTCTGTGTGTCAGTGTGTGTCAGTGTCTCTGTGTGTCAGTGTGTGTCAGTGTCAGTGTGTGTCTCTGTGTGTAGACTCCAGACTCTCTGCGCACTGTCAGGATGTTGTGGGAAGATGCTGATAAAGCTGCCCTGACAGACTGACTGTGAGCTGATGGAAAACTGCTCTTTCCCAGCGGTCCCTGGCTCGAACCCCTCTCCCCCCAGCCCTGTGCAGGCGCTGGCTGAGCTCTGACAGACGGACCTGGAGTGTTGATTGGGACAGTGTTTTAAATAGAAGCCTCTATATTTAGTCTCTCGACAGCGGCTCTCTAAAGCCCAGAGATTAATGTGTGTTACAAAAACATAACACAACAGAGGACAACACACAGAGAGGGAGGTACTAACACTCTAGTACAGAGACACTGACTGACTGGACACTACAGCACATTGACCCTGACTGACTGACTGGACACTACAGCACAGTGACCCTGACTGACTGACTGGACACTACAGCACAGAGACACTGACTGACTGACTGGACACTACAGCACAGAGACACTGACTGACTGGACACTACAGCACAGTGACCCTGACTGACTGACTGGACAACAGGAGAGTCATGGGCTGTTAGCCAGTTCAGGAGCTCGCTCAGATTGAAATGAAAAACTGGAGAACACTGGTCTTTGTTGCAGGCGGGATTTATTCACACGGGACCAGCTACATGGACACAAGCCCACGGCACACACCCACACCCCACGGATAGCCCCACAGCAGACTCCCATTTGAAACAGCGCCCCCACCGTCTCCACAGGCTCGGCGGGGGAACTGCATCTCTGTGCTCCGGCACTGAAACAACGAGAGTGACGCCCCTCCCCCTCCACCCTCACTGCTGGCTCCACTTGCTCCCAGTCCGGAGCCCTGTGCTGAACCCCATTACCTCTCCC